CGAGCGAATTTGGAGGCAGTTTGCCCGGGAGCTTCGGCCCGCGAGCCCGCAGCTGCGCAGCCGCCACATACGAGGGCCGCAGGCTGCAGTGATTGCCTGCCTCTTGCAGGAGGGGCGGGAGCCAGAGGGGCCAGCCGACTGGCGCGTTCAGAGCGACGGGTCGGCGATCTAGCGCAACTGGCAGTTCAACCCAGGGGCTCTGACAGGCTTAGAGAAGGTTAATGTGCCCAATGCTTTTCTTGCAGGAGCACGAGGGCGCCGTCATGCAGAGTTTGTGGCGCCAGGCCGCAACTCATTTCAATGGTGCTAGCACGGAGGGGGTATCTGCAACCTCTCGCCCCGAGCACTTCTCCGTCAATTGGAGGAGGCGCCGAACGGCAGACAGTTGTCGGGCATCCTTTTGTCAGCGGCGGCAGGAGCACCTTGGCCACGAGAGCGCAGGTCTGGGACATCCAAGTTGCCAATATCAGACATGTGCCCGATGCCGTAGTGAGAGAGAGAGTCTTCGTTTCACCGCATTTGGAGCTGTTCGAAGTGCGTTAACCATGGCATTTACAGACTCCCAGATGAATGTGCCCTGCGGGCCCACACACAGCACAAGGTTGAGCCGTGTTTGTGGCATCGAGGCCTCTCGCCGCAGTCGCGGGTCTCTGTTCCACCCCCACAAGAGGATGCTGTCTGGTGGAGCGAGAGGGCATAGGGGCGTTCGAAGATAACTGTTTTGGTCGCGGCTCGGTTTCGGCCCCAGTCTGTCTTTTCGGTGATGCCAGTGGGGGCGAAGATACCAGCGACCCTCGGCTCCGTGGAGTGGGCTGCGGCATAGCACAGTATTCTATCATGTCCGAGAATACGCAGCTGGCGGCGTCTGCGCGGGGGGGGGGCTTGCCAGGCCCCCAGCCGACTGTTGCCAGGGGTGAGCTTTACAGTTTCCTGCCTGCGCTGATCGGTGCCGACGGGGTTGTTATATGCACTGCAGATAAGTCTAATGCGCGTTCCGGATGGCATTGTGGCCGAGCTTTCGCCCCATATGGGGAAAACGCGGATTTGTGGTACCAGGTAGGGCAGGTGCTAAAGCGAGAGCCAGAGCTGTGCTGCACGGTCCTTTGTGTTCATTCCCATCAAGAGGCTCGGGGCGTCGTCCAAGGTAAAGCCCCTCTGTTTTTGATTGTGGGGAACGCGGCAGCAAACAAGCTAGCCGAAGTTGCCGCCAAAGCTGTCCGCACCCCTGCAGCCATCAGGAATATGGTTTCACGAGTGAAAGCATGGCTTTCGCCGTCCGCATGAGAATGTTGCTGGCCACTTTAGAAACTTTAAAAGCTGAGCAGGCCCTGGCGACTGAGGAGCCCCGAGGAACCCGAGTCAGGAACCCTGGGCCCGGGCCGCCAGCACCTGTGGTGTGCGAGGAGTTTTCCATTGTGCATACGTTATCTGATAGCAAGCTCTCCTGTTTAAATTGTAGGAGCTCTACGACCAAAGCTAGGCGAAAGAATTGGTTGGATACCCCATGCTTTGACCTGAGGGCTATAGATGGCGTAATTTTCAGGCCGCCCCCCCGTCGCAGGGTGCACATCTGTGGGGGGTGGGCTGATGAAACTCACATGCTACAGTTTCACGCTGGGCTGGGGATCTGGTTCTGCGGCACCTGTGGATGTTTTGCGGCCCAACAGCTGGCCCAACTCTGAAGGAGGTGCGAGGGCAGGCCCGCAGGTAGTCGCGTAGCTTATCTTAGGCGTATTGAGCGGGGTATCTGGCCTAAGGCACACACTACAGCTGAGAAGGCCAGAATAGCGTTTTTTCTTATACGCATATACGTAAGTGACATAGTCGCAATATCCGTAACTCCGTAACTCCTCCACCCCGTGATCGGGTCATCCTTGTCGTGGTCGTTACACGCAACTTGGCCGAATCTGGAGTAGGTGCCAGAAACCTTTGCTTGAGTGGCAGCTCGCGTCCTTATTCCCAGGCCCGCTGGAGTCCCAGGTCGAGGCCCAGGTTCAATTGTTGGATATGTGCACATGTCAATATTCAGGCACAGTGTTCGGCTGTGGTCCTTGTATTTGAGGTTGCATCCCATCTTTGTGCGCATACCCACGGTCAGCAGCAGAGAGAGTGCTAAGTTTGTTGAGAATGAGTGCGCCGGGACAGGGCTATCGGGCACACGCTCTGGAGGCAGCCCTATATTGTACTCAATTTGGGTGGGGATTCTCTGCCCTCGCCGATGGAACTGTACACGTGACAACTGACCGCCCGTCGTTGAATCCACCAGAACCGAGCAATAAGTATCCGATGCAGACATGCGGGGTCGCTTGAAATATGCGAACCGCTTTATAACTTTGAACGATTGCTCAAGCGAGATGGCTCTCCTCCTACCCCTCCTCCTCCTCCTCCTCCTCCTCCTCCTCCTCCTCCTCCTCCCGATCCTCTTCATACCTCCCGTCTCTTTCCCCCCCTTATCCGCCCTGCACATCGAGGCGCGTCGAGGGCGGCTTCACTTACAGCGGGCGCTTCGAAGTCTCTGCGAAGCAGTTTCAAGTTTTCTTTTCAATATGAGTGGCGTAGGCACTTGGGTCGATCGCGCGGGCAGTCGCGCATAAGCCTCCCGCGTAAGGTCTCGCGTGATCGGCCTCTGCCCCACGTGGGACGCTCCTGGAAGGCCTTCGCCAACGAGGAAGCGAGAAGTTGGCGTCGCTATTGCGGCGGAAGGGTGGCGGCAGACAGCGGTAGTAAAACAAGGGTGGCTCCGCCGTTGGAGGGCGACGGGAGTCCATCGGAAGCCGGCGGAAACAAACGTCGGCCTTCCCAAGATATGCCAGTGTTGTTGTTGGTGCTGTTGGTGTTGTTGGTGGTGGTGTTGTTGCTGGTGTTGTTGTTGGTGGTGTTGGTGCTGTTGTTGTTGTTGCTGTTGTTGATGTTTGTTGTTGTTATTGTTGTTGTTATGGTTGTTGTTGTTATTGTTGTTGTTGTTGTTGGTGTTGGTTTTGGTGTTGTTGCTGCTGCTGTTGTGTTTGCTGCTGTTGTTGTTGTGTTTGTTGCTGTTGTTGTTGGTGGTGGTGGTGTTGGTGGTGGTGATGGTGATGTTGTTGTTGATGATGTTGTTGTTGTTCGTGTTGGTGTTGTTGCTGCTGTTGTTGGTGGTGGTGTTTTTGTTGATGGTGTTTTGTTGCTTGTTGTGGTGTTGGTGTGTGTGTGTTGTTGGTGGTGTTGTCTTTGTTGTTGTTGATGTTGCTGTTGATGTTGAATTCTCATTTCTGAAGAATAATTATTGTTGATCCCCCCCCCACCGGTGCATATTGTTTTTTCTCAATCGAAGTGTGCCCCTCGACGCTCGCACCCTGTTTTTTGACAGGAAAAAGCTTGATGCTCAAACTGGGCCCTTGGTCCCCGGGTTACAACAACAACGGCTCCCGCTTGAGACTTCCTTACAATTTAGCCAGGACCCCCGCTCCCGCCCGAGACTTCCTCGCATTTTATCCAGGAATCGCGCTCTCGCTTGGGACTTCCTTACAATTTATTCAGGAATCGCTCTCCCGGCGCTCTGGAGTCGAGCTCTCGCTGGAGACTTGTTTGCAACTTACTGAAGAATGGCCTCGCGTTGGAATCTCTTGCAATTTGCCCAACCGCCGCGCTCCCGACACCCAGGCACCCAGGAGTCGCGCCCGTTGTGGCCCAATGTGCATGCCCTTTGTGGCCCCGCTGTCACCATTTGTGTTCCCGTCACTGTCCTACGTGGCCCAGTTGCTACCCTCAGTGGCCCCATAGTCGCCTTCCGTGGCCCCGCAGTATCTGCACTTCGTGGCCCCCGCTCTTTCGCGCTCTCCGTGGCCCCATACGCATTCCCTTCGTGTCCCCGCTGTCGCCCTTCGTGGCCTACTTGGTGCCCTTCGTGGCCTTGCTGTCGTTCTCTCTCGCTCTCGCTTTCGCTCGTCGTCGCCGTCGTCGTCGTCGTCGCCGTCGTCTTCGACGTCGTCGTCGTCGTCGTCGTCGTCGGTCCCCTGTCCGTCCCTCTTGGGGTCGGGTCGACGGTCCGCGGCCGCCCCGCCGATCAGCGCTGCCGCTGGCCAGGCCGACGGTCCGCGGCCGCCCCGCCGCTTGCCGGGGCCCGGCCTGCAGGGAAGAAAGGTACACCCCCCAAAAGGGGTTCGATCGAAGACGAAGAGGGCGAGTATCGAGGGTTTGGGAAATGCGCGCTATTGGACACTCGAGCATATAAGGGCGAACAGTCTTAAAATTATTGTTGATAGTGTTGTTGTTGCTGTTGTTGTTGTTGCTGTTGTTGTGGTTGTTGTTTTTGTTGTTGTTGTTGTTGTTGTTGTTGCTGTTGTTGTTGTTGCTGTTGTTGTTGCTGTTGTTGTGCACAGGGTCTCCGAAGCTACCCACGCGGTGCCCCGAGCGAGCAGCTCGCGTCTGCCACAGCGAGAGGGCGATGTGCCGTCGTGCGCAAGGCCCTCTCTCTTTCGCCGCTCGGCTACCGTGGACTTTTCCCCGAGCCACGCGCGCAGGGCCCCCGCTTCCCTGCCGCTCGTATTTTGCCGCCCGCTGGCCGCCCCGGCTTGATGCAGCCGGGGCTCTGGGCGAAGTCGGAGGCCACGCGACCAGCCGCCAGGGCAGGAGGACAAGACGGGCATCGTCTGTGCCTGCCTCCTCTCGTCTCTCTGCTCCTCCCGCCGGATCTTCCCCTCCCCCCCTTGCCCTCGTGCCCTTTTTCTCCCTTGCCTCGACCCCGCCTCTTCCTCATCCACCCGTCCTAGCATTCATATTCCTCGTCGTCCTGCCTTCCTTAGACTCCGTCTCGTTCCTCGCCCTCCTCGCCCTCCCCCACTCTTCCTCCTCTCCCGTGCCGCCGTCGAAGCAGGCGCGGCGCGAGGGGAGGGAGCTGGGGAGAGAGGACGGTCAAGGTCGGACTCGTTCCCCACGTTCTGCCTCGTCCTCCACCTCCCCTTCTGCTTCCTCCTCCACCTCCTCCTTGCCGTCCAGCGCCCTCCAGCGCCCCACCAAGAGAGGTTCAAGGCGTCGAACCTCCTGGAGGACTCCAAGGCCGCGGGGGGGGGGGCCGCGCGCGGGGGGGGGCCGCGCGCGCGCGGTGGCCGCGGAGCGCGGCGGCGCCCCGGCCGCTGACCGAAGCGCCTCCCTCCGGAGAGGAAAGGGCGGGGCTGGAGCAGAGCGGAACGGGGCGGGCTTAGGCGGAGCAGTGACGGGGCGGGACGGGCTTCGGGCGGAACGGGATGAAGTGGGCGCGCCCGGACGGGCAAGCTCATCTTCGTCCTCTTCCTCCTCCTGCTCCAACCTGCTCCCCCTCCCCTCCCTCTATTGCTCCTGCTCCTGCCTGGCTCCTCCCTCCTCCTCCTCCTCCTCCTCCTCCTCCTCCTCCTCCTCCTCCTCCTCCTCGTCCTCGTCCTCCTTCTCCTGCTCCTCCTCCTTCTCCCTCCCTCCCCCCGGGAAGCCAAAAGCCACCAGGGCCGTGGAAGGGGCGCTCGGGCAACCCAGGAAGAGAGGCTGCGCCCTGCCGAATGATGTGGCCGAGCCTGGACCCGACAAGACGGGATGGGCTCAGACGTAATGGGACGGGACGGGACAGCACGAACCCCGACAGGGCGGATGGGAAGGGTCGGGAAGCCCAGGGAGCGACGTCTGGGACCAGTCGGCGTCTGAGCCGACCTGGCCGCCGCCGAGAGGGCCTGGTCAGGAGCGGGCCCGGTGACCATTTGATCCGTTGAGCGGCCAGGGCCTAGTCGGTTGAAGCTCTGAGGTCGCGCTCCCCTCCTCCTCCTCCTCCTCCTCCTCCTCCTCCTCCTCCTCGAAAGAGAAAGATTGTCGCCGGGTGGGAGCAGTTCCTCGTGCCTCGTCGGGATTGAGCCTGTTCGGCTGCCCATCCGACGGCCGAGCAGGTTCGGGAAGGGAGGGGGGAGGACGGTGAGGGGGAGTCGGAGAGGCAGGGAGGGGAAGGCGGGGGCGACGAGGAAGGGGGAGGGGACGGGGGAGGCAGGAGGGGGAGAAAGGGGTAAGGAAGGGAAAAGGGGGCTGAGCTGAGGGAAGGAGAGGCAGGGGATAGATCGGGAAGGGGGCAGGGTAGGCGGAGGGGGGGAAGAGGGTCAAGGAAGCGGGAGGGGCAGATGCAGAAGGGGAATCGTGATTAGGGAGGCGGAGACAGGACCGGGAAATAGGGACGGGGGCCATGCGGATTGCAGGGAGGAGGAAGAGGATTGTGAGCAGGAGGACATCGTATGATTCAAAGCTTGTGGGGCCCGACGGCTACAAGGATGGGGGACAGATCGATTCCTCTCGCCTCACGGGGTGCACGTCCGGAGCACGTACAGTCCAGTCGTTGTCGGGCCTTTGGGTACTTCTTTGGGGTTCCCTTGGAGGCCTCTTGGGTCCTCGCGGGGGCGTCTGGGAGGCCTCTTGGGGGCCTCTGGGAGGCCTCTTGGGGGCCTCTCGGAGTCCCGTGTGGGCGTCTTGGGGGCGCTCTTGCGCTGTCTGGTCCCTTCGGAGACTGTCTTGGGGTACTCTTGGGCCGTCTTGGGGGCCTCTTGGGGCATCTCGGCGGCCTCTTTGGCCTGCCTGGGGGCCCTCTTGGGCCGTTCTGGGGCCCTCTTGAGGGCTTCTTGGGCCGCCTGGGGGCCACTTCGGAGGCTGTTTCCGCCGTCCTAGACCTCTGAAAGTCGAAATAGGCGGGAACGCTGAAATATTCAAACAACTAAAGGAATATCAAATAGTTGGGTTTCTAGAGGCGCTCTTCAGGGTCCTCTTGGGGCCGTCTTGGACCTTCTTGGGGCCTTGTTGGGCTCCCTTGGGGCCATCTTGGGCCGTCTTGGGGCCGTCTTGGCCCACACAGAGGCCATCTTGAGCCGTCCTGACGCCCTCGTGGCCCCCCAAGAGGCCCAAGACGCCGAAATCATAGATTTTACATAAGTTTTGGTAGGTTTTTGGGGCCCGCAAAAGGGGTCGCTAGGTTGGGTCGATGGATGTGGCGTAGCCCCTGGGGGGGGTAGGGGGGATACATAATAATGTAACACAAGACAACATGTAGCAATTATCCAATCATGGGGTACAATGGATACGTTGCACTATCGCCTCCGCAGAAAACGCTGCCGCTCAGCACGTCACTTCCGGACGTGGATGCTATAGGCTTACGCCACATCCGCCGACCCCTCTATTGACTACTGCGCATCGGGGCGAGGAAAAGTAGCAAGAATGCGTCAAGTTCAGGGTAGTGTGTGGCACGCTCTGGGATGTCCGTTGGGATCTCGTGGCGAGGATTCTTCCGGGCCTCTTCGAGGCAGTGTCGAAGGGTCTTGGGGGCCGTTTTTGGGCTGCTCTTGGGTGCCGCATGGGGGCCGCTTCGGGGCCAATTGGGTCCTCTGGAGAGCTTCGTTGGGCGGAGCGCTGGAATTCGCAGTTCGTGGTCCCTCTCTTGGGCCCTTCTCGGGGCCGTCTTGGAGCTCTCTTGGGCCGTCTCGGACGCCTCTTGGTTCACGTTGGAGTCTTTTAGGTTGTCTTTGAGGCCTCCTGGGAGCCTCGTAGGCCGTCTTGGGGTGGTCCTGCGGGCCTCGTGGGGGCCTTGTGGACGGTTCTTAACGCCGTGAAGGCTAACAAGTTGGATATGCTGCAAATGCACGTTTCCCCCAGGGAATTCCAAGATTTTGGTTTCTTGGGGGCTTCTTGGGAGACCTCTTGGAGGCTTCGTGGGGTGTCTTAGCAGCCTCTTGGACCGTTTTGAGGTCATCTCGGGTGTCTTGGAACGGTCTTTCGGCGACTTCGGGTGTTCGTGGACCGTCTTGGCGGCTTCGTGGGAGGCGTCAATTGCTGCCGTGCAGCTCAAGAGCGAGCCCAGGGAGCCCAGACCGCCCCTGGTGAGTTCGGTCCGGGGCCACCCTCGGCCCGGGGGGGGGGGAGGGGGGGGGGGGAGCAAAATCCCAGTTTGGGGTCCCTGGGGGGGGATTACGGGGGGGGGGAACAATCTCACACGCCTGGAGATCCACAAGGGGTCGGCGGATATCGATATGTCCCTTGGCCTGATGTCTAACGATTCCTCTAACAGCGCTTGCACATAGGGTATCTTACTTCGCTTGTAGGGGAACTGTGGTCTGGTGTCGGTCCGGCCAGCCTGTGGGCGCCCGTCGCCGCCGTCCGTCGCCGCCGCAATGGGGCCCTGGCGTCGGTCTGGCCAGCCTGTGGCCACCCGTCGCCCGGCCAGCCTGTAGCCGCCCGTCGCCGCCGCCCGTCGCCGCCTGCCGGCTCGTCGCCGCCCGTCGCCGCGAAGCAGTGCATTGCATTGTGCTGCATCCCAAATGCATTGGTTCGCTGGTCTTTGCATTGTTTTGCATTGCGTCGCATTGTTTCGCATTGCTTTGAATTGATTTGCATTGCTTTGCAATGCGTTGCATTGCTTTGGATTGTTTTGCATTGCTGCGCATTGCGTTGCATTGCAGTGCGTTGCTTTACTTTTCATTGCAGTGTTTTGCGTTGCTTGGCATTGCATTGCAATGCATTGCATTGCCTTGGTTTGCATTGTTTTGACTCGTTTGGACTTGCTGTGCACTGGCTTGTAACACTTTGGATTGCTTTGAATTGCTTTGGGTTGCTGTGCATTGCTGTGCTCTGCTTTGTCGTGCATTACTTTGCTTTACTTCGCAGCGTAGTACTTTGCATTGCATTGCATTGCATTGCATTGCATTGCATTGCATTGCATTGCATTGCATTGCATTGCATTGCATTGCATTGCATTGCATTGCATTGCTTTTCGTCGCAGTGCGTTGCTTTGACTTGGCTTGCATTGTTTTGCACGGCTTTGCATTGCAGGGCATTGGTTTGCGTTGCGTTGTTGTGCATTGCGTTGCATTTCATTGTTTTGTGTTTCACTGGTTTGCATGTCATTGCGTTGTTTTGAAGGAATTACGCATCGCTTGGCACTACACTGCGTTAGTGTGCATTGCTCGGCATTGCTTTGCATTGCTCGGCGTTGATTTACATTGCATTGTTTTGCATCGCGTTGCGCTGATCTGCAGTGACATGCGTAGACCAGCATTCATTTGCATTGATCTGCATGTCTGTGTATTGCGTTGCATTGGTTTGCCTTTGGCATTGATTGACATTCACATCGACTGATTGTACCACATGGATTGCACCGTCTAGATGGCACTGCATGGATTCTTCTTTCTAAAAAGAGAGAATAGACTCCTACCCCCCACGCCCAGGGATTAGCGGGTAACCTTTTTTTCGTATTGCAGTTTACATATGATTGTGCCCCATCGTCCATCCTAGATATGAATTCATATTATCCCAGCCAAACCAGTATCGCTCCCCCCTCCACCGCCATCCTCTGCAAAAAAACACTATGCGCGCACTTTCGTGTATCAAAAATCGTAAGTTGTCAAGAACCCCTTGCAAGAAAGGGACGAAGTGCACACGCGCGCGTCCATGTCGAAATCGTACCAAACACAGTGTGGTTGCAAGCATTCCAGCGTAAAAGCAAAAAAAACATCCCAAGGTTGCTGCAACACATATTTTGCAAATTGCCTGTCCGCGCGCTCATGCGAACATCATACACAAACTATAGGATTTCAATGAATTCTGCCAAACGCATCGATTTCATGTCACCGCGCGGTGCACCCGCGATACTCCTGTCATGCGCCGAGGGCGCGAATCCCTTGCAACAAATACCTCGCGGGCCACATACGCGCACCGCCGTGCGCGCAGGATCAGTCTCACGGATTTGTTGAACTTCCGCGCGCGCATTTCTTTTCAACCTGGTCAGCACCACCGCGATCATCTGCCTCGTCGGCGTGATCGGCATCGGCGCCGTCCCTTGCCGTGCCGTCGTCGCTGTCAGCATCGTCGCCGCCATCGCTACTAGCATCACCATCGTGCCCACACTTGCTGACGTTGCCATGATACCGCGCCCGACCAAGTCGCCGACTCGCACTCAAGCGCCCGCTGGGATGCGCCGAGCGCGCAGCACCACCGCGGCCGCGTCGGTCGCGCCAAACTACTTGGCCGCTGCGCGCGCGTGCATGCGCGGGCTGGCGCGGCCGCAG